CATTTCAAGACATGTGTCAGTGTAGGGATAAGCTGAGAGGGAATGACTTAAACTGGGACAAAAATCTCCCAAGTATTTTGGCAACAACTTATCCTTTGAATTATTTCTCTTGCAATTTATTTCCAAAGGCAAGTCACTTCCCCAATACATAGTCTTTGTGCAAAAAGGCCAGAGACAGTAAAGACTAAAAGTAAATTGACTTGATTGCAATTTGGCCCAGAAGGGTTGTCACATGGGTTTTGATGCATTCCATAACATTCACAAGTCTACTCTGTAACCAGCAGCTCACCTCTCTATCCCACTCCTCCATCAGGTCAGTGATGCGATGGAAACTTACTGCTGTCTTTGGTTAGAATGGTGCAGATATGACACTCAGGCTTAACACCAACCAGGACAGAACACCCTCTGCCACCAGACTCACTTAGAATCCCAGAATCATAGAAACATTGAAAGAGGAGTTGGCCATTCAGCCCTTTAAGTCTGCTCTGCCATTCAATACGATCATGACTGATCATCCAACTCAAAACCCTATTCCCACTTTTTCTCCCACAGCCTTTACCCCCAAGAACTATATCAATCTTCTTCTTGAAAACATTCCATGTTTTTGCCTCAACTGCATTCTGTGGCAAAGAATTCCACAGGCTCCCCACTCTCTGGGTGCCACTTTAAGAAAAACAAAAACTGAAGGGTGGCTTAATATAATGAAAGGTTTTGATAATGGTGAATCCTCTTGAGGAGAAGAGCATAACTGGAGGTAATTAATACAAGATAGTCAACAAGAAATCCAATACTGAATCAGGAGAATTATTTTCTCAAAGAGTGGTGATAGGAAATGGTGAATAAATATTGATGTATTTGGGGCAAACTAGACAAGCACATGAGGGAGAAGGGAATAGAGTGGCATGATGGTAGATTTGGATGAGAAAAGACAGGAGCAGGTTCTGGAGTGGAGCAGAAACACAGGTTTGGGCCAAATGGTCTATCTTTGCGCTATATATACCCTGTATTGCTGTTGCACAGAACTGAGAGATTTACAGGGTGCCTCAGTCAGCCAATACCCTAAGTAGGTGACAAAACAGGAATTGCAGGAAAAGCTCAGCAGGTCTGGCAGCATCTGTGAAGAGAAATCAAAGTTTACGTTTCAGATCCGGTGACCCTTCCTCAGAACTGGTCATTGGACCCGAAACATCAACTTTGAGCTTTTCCAGCAACATCTGTTTTTGTTTCTGGTTGACAGCATCTGCAGTTCTTTCAGTTTTTTTTATTCCCTAAGCAGGTGATACTTCCCCACTCCTTCATCCCCAATGGCTCAATGTCCTGGGATCCCCAATCGAGCTCTTGTGGCAGGTCCATCTCCATAAGGGCTGCATCAATTTCAAAGAGAAAGCCAAGTGACCTTTTCCCATAAAATAAAACAAAAAAGAAACTGCAGATGCTGGAAATCTGAAACAAAAACAAAAAATTGCTGGAGAATCTCAGCAGGTCTGGTAGTATCTGTGGAGACAGGAACAGTTGAAGTTTTGAGTCCAGTGACCCTTCTTCAGCAATTTCTGTTTTTGTCGTTTCCCCCAGGGGAATGAGCATTAAATGCCCCTCTTAGCCAGGCAGCATATCAAATAAAAAGAGAATTTCCACATTGTTGGACTGAGATCAATCACAGGGAAGAGGGACATTTCAACTTTTCATTAACTGCAGCTGACCAATCAATGGTAACACTTGAAAGCCATTGTAGTGGAGGTAAAGTATTAGAAAACTGATAGAGAAAATCCACCAGTACCCTCACCACATCTATATCTTTCCAGAAATGAGATGCTTGCTAAAAGAAGAGGGTTCACAAAGGATAAAACAAACTACAGGGCGGCACGGTAGCTCAGTGGTTAGCACTGCTGCCTCACAGCCACAGGGCCCCAAGTTTGATTCCACCTACGGGCGACTGTCTGTGTGGAGTTTGCACGTTCTCCCGGTGTCTGCGTGGGTTTCCTCCGGATGCTCCGGTTTCCTCCCACAGTCCAAAGATGTGCAGGCTAGGTGGACTGGCCGTGCTAAATTGCCCATAGTGTTCAGGGATGTGTATATTAGGTGGGTTTGGGGAATGGGTCTGGGTGGGATGCTCTAAGGGTCAGGGTAGACTTGTTGGGCCAAAGGGCCTGTTTCCACACTGTAGGGATTCTATGGACTATGAGTGTCTGCGTGGGTTTCCTCCAGATGCTCTGGTTTCCTCCCACAGTCCAAAGATGCGCAGGTTGGATAAATTGGCCATTCTAAATTGACCCAGAAGTGTTAAGGGATGTGCAGGCTAGGTGAGGTAACCATGGTAAATGTGGGGTTAGGTTGGGATGCTCTTTGGAGGATCAGTGTAGACTCAATGGGCCAAATGGCCTCTTTCTGGACTGTAGGGAGTCAATGTCTTCTAGCTCATGATGAAAAATATAGTTCATGCATAGTTTAGTAAACCACTTAGATTGAACCTTGTAAGCAGACACAATACATACAACACAAAAAATATTGATAGCTTTGAGCAATGATTCTTATGGCCATGTATGGGAATATTGATACCTTTTCTAATACAGAATGCCAGATGCTGATTATTAGCCTGGTCGGCTTTAAGTCAAACTAGAATTCTACTGGATTCCATAACATATTCCTGCTAATCATTTATGAAGTACTGGGAACACTACTATCTGCAAGTTTCCCTCCAATCCACTCACCATCCTGACTTGGAAATATATATATATGTTGTGTAATGGTACATGAGATATCCTGGGTTCATATTCCAGATAAGCCCCATTTAGGATGATGTGCAGATGAAGCAAGGGTGATCAGAGAAAAAATTTTGCACACAGCAAGTGGTTAGGGTATGGAATGCACTGCCTGAAATTGTGGTGAAGACAGATTCAGTTGGTGGCATTCAAGAGGCCATTGGCTGATTATTTGGATAGAAATACTGTGCAGGAATATGTAGAAAGGCAGGAGATTGCTACTCCTAAATTAAGCACGTTTGAAGGGCTGGTATAGGCATCATGGGCTGAAAGGCTTCCTTCAGCACTTTAACAATTGTGATATTCAGAAATCCAGGTGCAAGGTTTTAAAAAAACGTTTTAGATACCACGAATAATTGTTCTCAAAAAAATGCATCAGCAAGGTCCAACTTTTCTATCTAACCTCTAAGGGATCCAAATTGCTGCTATCTATCTGCATGGAATATGTTTTGGTTTATTTTGTATTCCAGCTAGCCTTTTCTATAATTAAAGCTGTGCACTGTGTCTCCCCACTTGTAGTTGTGGAGCGGGAGAGGTGAGAATGACAGCTCTTGGCATCAAGGGAGTATTTGTCATTGTATGGCATGAAAGAACCCTAGCACCATTGAAGTCTGTGCAGGTTGGAGTCATACATAGTGTGAAGGAAGATATTTTGTTTTATTTATATACTTGTGGTTGCTGGAGGCTAATCACCTCAGTCGCAGAGATTTGCTGCTAGAATTCCTCAGCACAGTGTTGAGGGCTCCACCATCTTCTGCTTCATCAATGAACTTCCTTTCTTCAGAAAGTCAGTAATTGGGATAGTCGCTGATGATTGCACCTCAATGTTCAGTACCATTCACAACTCCTCAGAGACAGGACTGAAGGATTCTGTGTCAATATTGTGTAAGACCTAGACAACATTTCAGGTCTGAGTTGATCAGTGACAAGTAATATTCACATTGTAAAAATGTTAGGTAATTACCATCTCCAAAAATAATCTAACCACCTTGCATTGATTTTCAATGGCATTTCCATCACCGAAAGCCCCACTAACAGCAGCCTGTGGGTTACTATTAAACAGAAGCCAAAGAGAACCAGCCAATATAAATACACAGACTACAAGTGCAGGTCGGAGGCTAGGAATTCTCAGGGGAGTAACTTTCCTGACTCCCCATTGCTTATCCATCTACAAGGCAGTAGTCAGCAGTGTGTGATGGAATACTCCCCACTTGTCTGGATAAGTGCAGCTCCAACAAAGCAGCTGGTTTCATTATCAGCTGATGAATAAACTGAAACATTCACTCCCCCACCCCCACCACTAACTCACATTGGCAATAGTTTCGTTTTGTTCATTTGTGGGAATTAGATCTGGCTTGGCCAGGATTTATTGATCCATCCCTCATTGTTGTGGAGAAAGTGGGGTCAGCTACATTCTGCAAGTGTTCCATCTACAAGACGCACTGTAGCAACTCACTAAGCCATCTTCAACAGCACTTTCTAAGTGGCGTAGTTCGACTGTCAAAGTAGGTTGAGGGTAGCAGATGTATTGGAACACCATTATCTGCGAGTTCCCCTGCAGGACTAACATTTTGACATGGAAATAACTTGTTGTTCCTTCACCTTTGCAGGGTCAAAAATTTGGAGCACCCTTCCCAACAACCAGAATGACTGAAGCAGTTCAGTGTGATGATTAACCACCACCCTCTCAAGTGCAATTAGGAATCAGGAACAACTCATGGTCTTCCCATCAGCGTAAACACCCTGAGAAATAAAATAGGTTAGCTGATGATTACATTGAAGTAGAATGAATTATATTGCTTACAGCACAATGGTTGCACTGGGATATTGACTATAAAAACTCCAGTGACCCTTCTCCAGTAATTTCTGTTTTTGTCCTTTACCCCAAGGCAATGAGCATTAAGTGCCCCTCTTTGCCAGGCAGAAGATTGAATAGAAAGAGAATTTCCACATTGTTGGATTATGACCAATCACAGGGATGAGGGACATTTGGCCCGATTTATTAAAAACGTTGCTGAAGTCATAACCATAAATTATCAGGAAGTAACAAGTTACAGTGTGATAACGAACAGGAAGATTAAACAAAGGATCCCTTTAAACACCTCAAACAAGTGAGTTAAATATTAAAACAGAAAGTGCTGGGGAAAGTCAGCAGCCAATGAGAGTTAGCATGAGTTCCAAAAGGTCATACCGGACCCGAAACGTTAATCCTGCTTCTATCACACAGGTGCTGCCAGACCTGATGAGTTTTTCCAGCAATTTCTCGTTTGTTTGTTTCAGATCTTCAGCATCCGCGGTATTTTGCATTTATTTCTGTTAACTAGTCACACTCCGATTTCCAGACGTTTCGTTATGTTTAGATGTTTATTGAAACCCGAATGTAAACACAAAATTAAAAATCTGTGGCGAGAGAAACAACATTAATGTATTGAGTCCGCCGGTATGACCTCTTCAGACTTTATTAACTTTGAGCAGTATTTTTAAAAAATCACGTTATTATGAATGTCTGGGGAAAAAAATCCACATCAGTGCTGTCTTCCGACTTTTTCTCTTGTCCTGACTTCCTTTTCTTTGGGATAGGCTCCAAATTTCTTTAAAAGAAGCACATTGATTCCCTTGTCCGCTTTCCTGCAGTTGTAGGGAACCAGGTGAATCAGAGACGTTCAAACAGTGGGGGAAGGACGATAGGCAATTTCTCAGCATGGTTCAGCTCATAAATTACTGAAAACCAGTCACATGCTGCACTCTCAAAACCTGTTCAGGTTGGAGCTACTCGGAACAAGGAAGTACCACGCCAGACACTCCCCTATAAAGACCGCACCAGCGGCGGGAACACTCATAGATTCATTCAATTTTACTAGAACAACTTCCAGGATAATCGGCTCTTTATTCTGAGCACCCAGAACAAGGTATGTCTGAGTGGCGTTCTGTTTGTTTAAACAATGTTGTCAGATAGGAAAACGTCTACTGAATTCAATTTAAAATTATCTCAAATTCAATGGTGAGGGATAGTTTTTTTTGTTTTGAATTGTACTTTAATTAGGAAAAGCTAACTTTTTGTTTTGTTTGTAAACACAAGTTTGTACAAAGCAAAATGTTTCTGAAACAGATTTTCCAAGATTTTTTTTTCAAAATTAATGCCTGTAGTCAGTGGCAGAGGAAAAAGTGACAGTTCCTTCACTTTTTTAAATATCTGGTATAAACGTCTGCTTTGTTAAATCTATTAACACAGCGTAGTTTGTTTGTTTTGTTTTGAACATCATATTTACGATGTTCATGATGTTGTATTTTTAAGACTACCACCTGTTACCATTTGGTTTCTTAAAGCTTCTGGATAACATGAGTTGGGGGGGCAGTAAATAGAGGAAAGGCAGAGAAGTGAGACTGGGTGCGGAGAGTACTGGCGCGACGGGCCGAATGGCTTCCTAAGTTGTAACTGCTGCTTCTCTCTATATATAAAGACGTACAGACCGCCTTCTCTTTAAAACCAATAACCCAAGTCAATTTTTTTTAACAAAAATTTAAGATACCCTCGGCTTGTTTGTACTAAGTTAACTTTCTTTTAAAAAAAA